GTGTTGATTTGAGATATGTATGAAGTGATTTGGTAGTTTTAGTGCATTTTGAATGTGAAATGAACTGCTGTGCCAAGCTGAAAGTTGGTTTGGAGAACTGTGTGAAGAGTTCTGAAAAAGTGACTTAAGTATTGAAAAATGGGTCCTAGCGACTGTAAAAAACTGTAACGTAATTCACATATAACATTTGAAATTTCAAATGAATATCTAAGAATTTAAAAAAATTGGAAAAAAAAAAACAGAAAAATAAAATCAGTAAAAACAGCAAAGATAATCACAAAATATATTTTTTTTAATTAAGGAGTCTTTCAATTTATAAAAATGTCTTTTCTTGTAATAATAATGGACCAAAATTCACTCCATACCCAGATGAAGAGAAACCTCCCAAACGCTCACTGCTGCTATGATGATCATGTAGTTTTCCAATAAATCTTGTATTTAATGCCTCAACTGACCAGATCTGCCTCTTCCACATGTTTGGTGTAAACTCTGTTCATTGGATCCTGTGATGTTGTCTCTACACAAAACTCTAATTTTTTTCCAGAAATGAATTAAGTGGTTCGCTTCTGAAGAGTAGCATAAAAGAAGGAAGTTATCGCTGCCAATCTCTGATGTTAACAGCATTTTTATTCAGAAGGATTATTTTCTTATTCATTTAACAGGATTCAAAGAGAGTTTGGTTCAAGTAGCGTTGTGTGTCCCTGGGGGCCCGCCTTTGTTCAGGCTCCTTTAACAGGGGCCCTTCTTTAGTTGAGTCTAATGTAGTTCCAGTCTCAACACCTCTGATGTTTAGATTAATCCCCATGTTATAACTCCATCTCGCATCAAATCAGAGGAATGATTACAAACATGCAGAGGCAAACGCATAACAGAGCAGGGAGATTAAAGCCAGATGAGAGGATCAAAGTGTTTATGCCTAATTAAAATAGAAAATGACTGAAGCAAAAGAACTAAATATTTGCTGAATCCATCCGCTCACATAAGCAGGGCTGCTTTCTAATGAAGTCGAGCTCAGAGCGCTGGAAGCCAGTGATTGCTTTATTCGTTAAATAGATTATTTTTTCCCTCTCATCTTTAATTCAGCAGTTCAGGCGATTTTGTCCAACTTATTTGTAACCCGTCCTCTGCCTGTCGCTGCAGGTCCTCCTCTCCTTTACACAGCGGCTCCTAAAACGCTAATTATGAACAGAAATCTGAAGCGAGGAGATAACAGCAGTCAGACGAAAGATCAGAAAACCAGCATCTAGATTTTGCTTGTCAAGTGTCTTACAGTTATATAATTGGTGCTAAGAGAGAACACATCACCTTTAGATTGTACACATTTGATTCATGTCTAGAACATATAAAGACTTAAAATATGTCTAATCGATGAGAGAACAAAGTAACCCAAAGCATTACACTGCCACCACCATGCTTTCCAGGTAGTCTTTAGTGCATGTACAGTCAGGCTGGCTGCTGTATTAATTAAGTTGAAGGCTCCCATCATTGACTTTCTTTCAAAAAAGGTTTCTTTTTATTTGTTTCATTTGTGGGGAAATACTGTTTGTAATAATAAAAATATATATAATTCAATTTAGTTTATTTCTATAGCACCAATTCACAACACATGTCATCTTAAGGCACTTTACAGTTCACTAGATCATACAGACAGATTGATTCAAAGTTTTCTATCTAAGGAAAACCAGTTGATTGCATCGACTTATTGACTCAAAGGTAATCCCGCACACTAATCATGCTTGTAGTGACAGTGGAGAGGAAAAACTCCCTTTTAACAGGAAGAAACCTCCAGCAGAACCTGGTCTGAGCTCTATGCTCTATCAGAACCAAGCTCTATGCCCTACCATAGTTTTTAAAAACTCAAGGTTAAAATAAGGCTGTTAGTGCTACAGATAGATTATTTGTTTTACTTTCTTCCTTCACCAAATGTAGGCCAGTCCTCAGCTGCTCCTTCAATCTTCAGCTCATTATTGTGAATAGTTGCATCAGACAGAGCAAATGAGTGTCTGATGGAGCGATCTCCTCCAGTCCGCCTCCCGCTGAGCTTCAGTGAGTTGTTTTCATTTCATTTCACAAGGATCTGGTCATGTGACGACCGCCAGCCTCCTTCCCCTGTTATCCAGGCTGAATTGGAGGAATATTTCAGCGACACCACGCTGCTCAGAACACCACTGCCCACATAAACACATTCCAGTCGCTTGATGGAGCAGACAGCACACTGCTTCCTCTACACAAACACAATACACAGATATTCTACAGCGGCTTTGATTAGCCGCTCTGTGGGACGCCCACCCGGCATGTTTCATTGGTTTCGCTGCTCTCCAGAAATTAAGACAGAAGAAATTAAAAATAAAAATGAATTGAAAGTACAGGGGAGAAAGCCCTTTCTAAAGGTTAGATTATATTAGAGTCAGATTATTGTTAATCATTTGAAAACATTTAACATGACATCTATATCTGCACAGAAAATTGAACTTCAAATAAAGGGCAAATTTTACTATGGAGAGAATTTTGTTCCATTGTTCTTAAAAGCAAAAAAATAAATACAATTTTTTTTTTGAATGTAATAATACAAAAAGCAGCCCAGAAATAAACTTTGGCAAAAACATCATCAAAAAATGGCTTTGAGAGTAACTTTGCTGCCATTTTTTTTTTATTTCATTTACTTACATTTATTTTTGCAAACTAAATGTCTTTCTGTTTTTTAGAAATTTTAGATCTTATTATTTTTTATTCTATTTGTCTGATTACCTTTCACTAATGGCATTCTTGTGAATTGCATTTCAGATTCTTTTCAATTCAAGCCCAATAGAAATGCTCCTTCTTGACAGATAAAAATGTTGCTAATGGCCGGCAGACCAATAGAAATGCATCTCTTCTCCTCCCTCCAGAGGAAAGCCCGTCCCTCTTAGGAGTGTGGAGAATTTTCTCAAATATGATTTGTTTTCACAACTTCATGACTCTTATTTGTTAATTTATAACACCTACTCAAAAAATTGTAAATTATTTTTTCAAGTGTGGAATTTGTACTTGCAAATCTGACATTCATACGAGTAAATCTGTAATTTTTACTTGTAAATTACATATGTCACTGTTCATTTGTGATTTGACCTTACAACTTTGTGAATTTCTATTTGTAAATTTGTGATTCTGGCTCTAAAATCTGTGATTTATTTTCGCAAACCTGGAATTTGTACTGGTAAATTTGTGATTCATACCAGTAAATTTGGAATTTCTACTAATACACTTGTGATTCGTACTCTGGATTCATAATTCATAACTTGTAAACCTGTATTCTCACATAGGAGACAGTATGACTTCAAAACAAGGGACAAATACAAAACTAACATGTATTTACATTTAATGACTAGTATTGGAAATTGTGACACCTATGGATTTATTTTATTGACATTTATCTCACCCCATACAATTCGTTCTTTTTTACCCACAGATCAGATTCTGCTGCAAACTTTAGCAATCAGAGACAAGGAGTTGAGATCAAATAGTTTTATATATACATGTCATGCTCCTAGACAGTGGATTCATCATGTGGTTGCACGACTGCTATAACTTTAATCTAGTTAAAGCTTCTCCCAGAGGAATAGTGGTCTCTTATTCATTGATCATCAGGTTTGTGGAGAGATTGGATGTGTTCATCTGCAGGATGACACTGAAATCAGTTTCTCAGGAAACTTCGGTAAATTTGCACAAAGTTTTTACATGCATGCTATAGAAAAGTATAAGATTACTGAAAATAAAATTTGGCCTCTTCAATTTAAAGGTCCATAAAGACTGTCCAGCAGTCTCTGTACTCCACAGCCAAGAAGTTTGGCCGATTAAAAGAATTAAAGCTGCATCTTTTCCCGCATCGCTGCACTTGTGAAACCCCCGTGCGGAGGCTCCTCCTGCGTCACCGCATTGAGGTGACGCCCTGCGCTCCTCTCTGCTGCTCTCAGTTTTTCCTGCAGCTCCCGGGCCTCCTGCTCTGCCTCCCGTGCAGCCTTGCGGGCCTTTCTCAGGGAGCGTTTCACTTTGCCAACGCGCTCCTTCAGCTGCCGGTTTCTCCTCTCTGCTGCAGCCAGACGCTCCTGCAGCTTCCGACCTTGTTCCTCCTCCTCGAACAGAGCCAGCTGGACTGACGAGCACAGCAGCTGGAGCAAAAGATGGAAGAGAAAGTGGTGCTAGTCAGCTGGCATACACAGATTTTTGTGTTTTCTAACAGTGAAACTGCAAAAAAAAAAAAAAAAAAGCTGTGACATCATGTTAGAGAAATGCTCATCCCATTTTATTTTCTGATACTTTAGGAGGAAAACTACCCTCTTACATGCTGCCATTAGTAATATTGGATTAGGATGGGTTTTCCAGCAGGGAAATAGTCCAAACTGCTCCAGGAATAATTACCCTAATTACATGGAGCAGGTTTTAAAGAGGACTATTTTATGATATCAGATAGAAATATATACGACCCGTGCACCTATTCCTTATTTTAAAGGGGACCCGTGTGTTGCTTCATTAGACCATATTAAAAAACAGAACAAAAATTATTAGAAATGTTCATCAAAAAAATAAATTAGCACAAAAAATGCATTCAAGGGATTTTATGGATCTAAACCTCTAAACCCTCCTTCTGCATTAAAAATCAAGTTAAAGTCTTTATTTTTGTGTTGAAACCCTCATAGCTCTCATAGGAAGGCATTCAGTGAGCCTTCAGAAAACACAGACACTTACAGCATCTGTGAAAACATCCGGGTGTTATTCACCTGCTGCTGGAGGTCATCTGGATAAACACTAAATATAGAGACACAAACTTATGCTTAAAAGTATTTTGCTTCGTGTGAGGAAACAATTTGCCACAGAAATAATTTAAGACAGGAAGAAAACTACTGATTTTGTTAATTATATAATATTTTCAGTCCACGATCTGTACAATCAGCTCATTTGCTCATGCGCTTCCAGATATACATCCAGGTTGCTATAAATCATTTAATTATGGTTCTAAAAGTATTTTTATCCTTAACTCACCAAAGAATGCTAATAAATAACCTCAATTTTTTCTATGACTTTTCAGAGAAAATTTGATGCTTTGTACATTTTCTCCATTAAACTGCTTCTCTGATGTCACCATCAGACATGCTCAGAGCAGTCCGGCAAAATATGATTAAACCATGTTTGTCTGCATTTTAGTTGTTTATTTGTTTAGATTACGCACTATATACCATAATGTTAACACAAAAGGAAAAAATAAAAGTCAAAAAGACTAGATTTATGTTTAAATCCAAAGCCGGAAAGTTAGCTCCCGGAAGTAAAGTAGGATCCCATTTCCGGGGGAAAGGATTTAGATGCATTAATTTTCTCAGATAATACATTATTAACCTTAACCCATTATAATTTAGTACGCTTACTATTTTTGGGAAGTGAAAAACTTAATTTAGGTCTTTTTTACTAATTAAAATTGAGGGTGACCCGGATGTATATCTGGATGCGCATGGGCAAATGGTACGGATCGTGCTTCCGTCATAAAATAAAACTTGTTTCTCATAATTTTAGGACACAATATTACGCCTTTATTCTCGTAATTCTTGTTGTGACTTTTTTCTTATAATATCAAGACTTTATTCTGATAATTTTACAACTTTATTCTCGTAATTTTGTGACTATTCTTGTTACGACTTTATTCTCGAAATAGAAGAAAAAAAATCTCTAGCCTAACTTTTAGATGTTAATATACAACAACATAAGCTGCCATAACTAAGCAGACGACATCCAGCTACACATTACAATATTACCAAGTGACTATGAACACATTCCCAGTGCTGGGAAAAAACACTTTCTTCCCTGAATCAAAACAAATAAAACTGAAGTTTGTGAATCTGTGCTGTGAATTTATTCCATATGTGTTTAGATTGAACTGACCATGATTTGAGATTGATGCAAAAACACAAAATGTCAACCCCAAATGCATCTATACACCAGAAACAAAAAAATTTATAAAAATAAATGACAAAATGTCAGGTTCAAGAGGTGTAAAAACTTTAGGGAAGCAATTAAAATGGCGTAAAGTCAAAAGTATACCTGAGTAGTTAAAAAAAAAAGAGTAAAGACGTTTAAAAAGTTCTGCTTTATATCGTAATATAAAATCAAGCAGCAGTAGTAGATAAGGAGGATAAAGTATGCAGCTAATTTGTGGGTGCAGCAAAAATAACCAGGTAAAAACCAAAAGCTCAGCAGAATGGTGAGAAGAGAGCATTCAGGAGGATTGGTCTTTTAACTAAAATTTTTGGTCTTTTGAGCTGTTTAATGAAATAAGAATCATCAGTAAAAGCCTGAGACCTTCCATATCAGCACTGATGTCATCTTCACACAATGGTGACTTTACAGCTGGTGCCACAGAGAAGTCCTCTTGGTTATTTAGTCTAAGTTTGTGTTTGGGTAGAGTGGATGAGAGAGGAGGAGAGATAAGGAGAAGAAAAAAGGCCGAGGAAAAACCCAACCCACAGGGAAGCATTCCTGCTCTGCTTCTAAAATCCTTCCCTTCATTACCTGCAGACATAATTCTCACCGTATAGTTTCTACGCTCACTACCAGAACCCAGCAATCAGCACAGACTGCTCTCTGACACTCGCCTATCACATGTTAGCTAACATGACTAAAAACTGTGAACGTCATTTTATGGAAATGTTTTTAGGGCTTAAATAGCAACGCTAAAAAAGTGGATCTGACTGCTTCTGATAAGATGAGGCTTTGAACTTTTAATTAAAGGTTTTGTCAGGAAGCCTTCCTTGTCCATCTGGCTCCCATGCACCTTAAAAAGGGAGCAAACTCCTTCCTTGTAACATTTTCAGGATTTTTTTCTTTATTTTTTTTTTATGCTTTAAATGTCATTTGAAGCATAAAGCACATTGTCTACATGTTTTTAAGATCTATAAATCTGAGGCTGTTTTGCTAAATAGAACTTAAAAAAACACTTTCTTCTCATTCTGCACCACATACCCAAAGCAAAACACCTGTGTTGTCTTGTTTTGCCTTTAGTTTATAGCCTCTACATGTAAAGGCTCGTCCCTCAGAACAAGGCTAGTCTTTAACCTTTGACCTTTTAGCTTGTACAGAACAGAACAAAGCATCACAAAGCATCTTGAGGACTGTTTCATGGTGTTGCTTTAGCTGTAGCTTTAGCTGTAGCGTACAGGTCACCCAGAACCTAAGGAAAACACCATGAAGTCTTTTCTGATATTATTACAGACATTTAAGATGCAGTTACACTGTTTATCTAGCCATTTTGGCTAAATGTGTTACCTTGGTTTGAATATCTTATGCGTTCCTGGTTGATTAGTGTGTGTACATTGGAATCAATGATGTGGATTTCACTGTTTTGCTATTTTTTTCTGTGAAATTAATTTTTTCTTCACATCTAAGAATTCATTAACCATCTAGGAATGTAATTCCCCAAGTGTCAGATAATTGAAAGCCATATTAAATAAGTCATTATATCAGTTTCGCTTTAGATTTTAAGCACCTTGCAACACAGAGTTAGTGAATCTTCCTTAGCGCCGACAGAGTGTTTGCATAGCTTTTGATGAGCTTAAGTGATGTTATTTATTTTTTTATAAATTTTTTTTTTTTAAATGGGTGTGTTTCCCTCCTGGTCTGGTTGCCCGGGCTACGTGATCTGAAATAAGCGGGTTTACATACTAAGTCAATAATTGACGTGCATCAAGGTGCAGCAAAGGGTAATGCAGCACATCTGAACAGCTGAAGCAGCGCCTCATGAGCCTCTGAGCATCTGACACAGCACTGTTGATACAGAGCGCTGTGATCCCTCCTCTGAAACTGTTTATTAACGCCTAAATTAGCTTAAAATGTCGAAAAAATATGTTCAATTTTATTATTCTGACACCTGCAGTTTGGATTACGTACATGAAAAATGCCTCCCAGCCGCGAACATTAGCAGAAAACCGCGAAAAGGCGACCGGGCCAGAGGCTGCCATTGAAGGGGATCTCCAGTGACAGAGCAGCGCCGGTGTGTGGGGGTTTGAGCAGCTCTGACAGCGAAATAATATCTGAAGGCAGGATCATAATCTTGATAAACTGACTGTACAGATGAAGTTTTCAGGTGGACTTCCTCACTTTAAAACACATTAAATCTACTTTTACCCACTTATAACAGCAAATATAGCCGCTCTCTGCCATTAAACACAGGAGCAGCAGAAGCAATCTGGACACACTTTACTGGACGCGCTTCAGCAAAGATGCTCTTCATGCGTTTCTGAACTTAATGTGTAGAATCATAAAAAATGAAGCAGCAGAAGCTTTTTCTGCTGCTTCCAGCGCTCGCTGTAGACCAACAGACAGCAAAAAGAGGGGAAGAAAGTATTTGCATCAAAACATTCATCAGGGCTGACAAACGTCCCTGTCTCTGCCAAAGCCAAGCACCCTAACAGCATGATGCTGCCACCCCCATGTTTCACCATTGAGGACATATTTCCACCACGTATTGTGTCTGTCAGACAGAAACTTTTGATTTTCCTCTTATTTAACAAGACAAACTGTTCCCTTACCCTGCTATCCTCCTGGGCGTCCCACTCAGGGCTGAAGGTGTGGAATGGGTGGCTCACTTGGCTGCAGTTGGAAAACTGGAAAAGGCTGGAGAAGGTGCGTCTGTTCTCCACTGTGTCCGGGAAGACGGCATCCTGGAAGTTCACTTCATGAGGCAGTATGCTGTAGTTTTCATCCATCCTTAGTCGGGGGATAAAAAGGAATACTTTGTTAGAGCAGTGATTCTCATAGTTGGGGTCATGATCCCACTGGGGGATCTTGATTGAACAGTTTTGCATCTTGAAATCTGGTATAGAACTTTATCTTAATATTAAAAATGTATGTTCTAAAGAGACTAAAGATATAAAAGCATTGCTTGAAAAATGAAGTAAACTAACGTCTTTGGTTTTTGATCCAGTTTGTGGTATTACATGCATACTTAATTGATTTTGTAGAAGTGTTTTTATGAGGGGAGTGTTGGCTTATTGGGTTAGAGCAGTGCAAGTACCCAGTTTGATCCCCACAGCGTCCACTCTGGGTCTCTGAGCAAAACCCTTAACCCCACACTGCTCCCCGGGCACCACACAATGGCAGCCCACTGCTCCCCAAGGGGATGGGTTACAACCAGAGGTAAATTTCTCCAATGTGAAATCAATAAAGTTCAATTATTATTATTATACTTAACTAATAGTTTGGGTCACGAGTCCGCTTTGGTAAAACTATGAATGTCAGAAGCTAAAAAGTTTGAGAACCTTTGTGTTAGAGGATATTTTAATTCAAAGAAAAATCAGCAGGCCGTGGTTATTATCTAAAATGAAGCTTAAAGGGCAACTCACCCCATTTAAAAATATATAACCCCGTCCTAAGGAGAACTTTGAAAAAGGCAACTAGACAGTAAAAGGTTGGGCTAAGTGTGAGGAGGTGCAGCTTGGGTTTGGCAGGGTCATGGTCAGAACAAGAGAAAATGGCAGCTAAGTTAGCCTAGCCTATCCTCTTTCTTGGGGGGAAGCCTAGCCTAGCCTGTTCTAGACTCTATCTTGCTGATAGGCTAGCCTTCACTCCTCTCAGGTAAAGGGAGACTTTGTGGAGTCCAGTGGGTTGGAGCTTTATTACTCTGAGCTGCTTGCCCAAAATCAATGCTGCCACGACGACGGATGGAGTTATATTTATACGCAAATACAGGTTTGTGATAAAAAAGACCTAAACCATCATGTATCTTCTGAACTTCAGATAAACCAATACATTGGCCAGCTGATTTTTTGTCTGATTTTTTTCTTGTATCAATATCGGGCGATATGAAGATGCATTCGCCAAATCATTAGTGCATTCAGCAGCTCTGCCTTGAGATCAAGGATGGCAAATGCATTGACTCTACCTCACTAATAAAATTCACTTCTTAAAATGAAACATAAACACATTTAACAAAGGCCCATATGATGAGTTATATATTTATCAAATATATGGTGTATTCAGATTTTGAAGAATTAATTACGTATTTCAATGATTATTTAGTTAATTGTTTATTTTTTTGTAATAAGGCACTCCTCACCCTCCATAAGAATTTACACTGTTTATCAGTTAGAAATTGATTTGGGGGTGAGTCACACTTTAAAAAGACTCTTTAAAGATATTCAACTAGTTTTGAAAATGATGCACAAAATCTAATCCCTTAAATCTCACAAAAACAGATTATGGGAAATTAAATGCTCAAAAATAAGAAGCCACCTGAGGAAGAAAAAGTAGGAGTAATTTTCCATCACGGTGTGGGACTGGCAGGACAGGTAGCCCAGGCCGGTCAGGTTGAGCCTGGATCCAGAGGGGACCTCCAGCATGGAGCCCCAGGCCTGGTCGCACAGCAGCTCCACCTCCGCAGAGTACAGCAGTCCTTCCTCCGCGCTCTCGTAGCCGAAGGGCAGCGAGTTGTGTCCATATCCCAGCGGCTCCCGGTGGATCGCCAGGACCCGAGCATAGACGATGATCTCGGCCAGCTCCGCCCGGCAGCCCTCGCTCAGCGGCCGCCAGTGGAAGGGCAACTGGCAGCCGTGCGTAAAAGTGTCCAAAGTGTCCAACTGCGCTAAAACGCAGAGCGATGTCAGAAGGACAGCCGGGGAAAGCATTTCGAGGAACAAAAAAATCGATATAAATATAAAATCAGTTTTACTTTATATTAACTCAACCTGTCTAACCTGTTGCGTTCATCCCAGACGCACAGACTGCTGCAGTCTGTGATGCATTCACTGACTGGAGGACACCTCAGCTGGACTTCCCATCCTCTATGGAGGTATGTTAGGTTGTAAAGCAGAAAATCCTAATATGAAGATTGTATTTTCAGACACTGCAGAAGCAGTAGTAGTAATATCCATGCTATATTTATTCAGTTGTTCTTGTTTGTTCATCTTTAGACTACTATTATTTAATGTATAGTAGCAAAGGGAATATTTTGCACCAATATCTAACATAAGTTATCTTTATTCTTCTTATCTTTAGATATATTTGTAAAGCCTGTCGAATTTCATTGTGTTATCAATTCCTAATAGTAGGTTTCAAACCACTATCAGGTCATTTATTGTATTATTTTACAACTCAAATTTTAAATCAATGCTTAGTTGAAATCTGAATGAGAGTTGCAGAATATTTCTTATTTTCCTTTTACTATTTGAAATATTTCATAAAAATAATAGAATTTGCTATAATATCATAAAAAATCTACTAAAAAATATTGAAAAATTAATCAAAATGTATTTGTTAAAACCAAGTTATTCGTATGTATCTTTTATTTATATTAGTGCAAACTAATTTGAAAATTAATAATAAAATCAAAATAATTGTACTGATTCAACAGTTCTTTGAAGCTATCTGCAGATGTTTACTCAAACTCTGCAGTTAATTGAAGTAAATTCTCCTGACAAAGTGTCAGTTTTTAACCTGCCCAACGCTGCCACCTAGCGGACATCAGTATGAAACGTTAAGTTTTGGGCTGGAATGAATGAAAATCACCGTATTGAAGAACAAGATCCCATGATGTGATGCCTGAGGCATATGGAGGGCCAAAAAACATTATGAAATGAATAAATGTGATTGTTCTATGTAATATGTAGATGTAACATTTATTCAATATTCAGTTAAATTATAAAAATTACAATTAGATAATAAAATGCCCTATTAAATAATCAAAATTAGATTTTAAACTATGTACTACATGATTAAAACTAATTAAAAGCATCTTTATAAATATATAAATTTCATATATATTTACAAATAATTATAGTATACTTTTTAGGGGGATGGCAGTCTGCATCGCTTATTCTTGGGGTTACAGGCTGAAATGTTTGGGTTAGAAGATATTGTGCTTGTTTACAGTGATGATTATTTTTATCCTGAAGACAATCTTTATTTAGAACCAGATGTTTGTATTTGCTTAACTGATATTTTGTCTCATAGTAAAATTTGATGGATGATTTGAAGCACTGAAGCAAAAACAGAAAAAATCATGTACGTTTAGTTATAAGGATCCTACTTTTTTGTCTTTTTTTATTATTTTTTTTTAACCTAAACCTGTACTGGTAGTTACATTATGAGCAATTGTGTGACTTTCAGGATTTGTGGGAGCTGAGAAACAGCATTCCGCTGATATTTATAGAAACAAAAGCAGCCTGGGAATGACATAACATTTCAACACTGAAGGCCTCCAGAATATCAGCAATGTCAAGTGAAAATCTAAAACTGCAGTTATAACATCTCAAATCACTAAAAGGAACACAAGATGAATCTGGAACAAGGTATTTTTGTTCTACTGTGTTTAAAATGAGTCCTGATTATCTTAATAATTACCTTCAGTAAATTTACACTGTAATTTACACTGTAAATAATGGAGATTACAAGTTAGTCTTAAATTAAAGGGCAATTTAATTCTCTTGTTTTAGAAACTCTGGACTGCAATAGAGATTAATCTAAATAGTCAACCACTGCCTGATTTAACATTAAACTTTTATTTTTTGATTTATTATTATTATTATTATTCTTTACATAAAATAAGGTTATTTTTAGATCAAAGGGAACCCCCTATGTGTTGTCTAAGTGGGTATAAAGTTGACTAATATCGGGATTTCCCGTTCTCAGCTGTCGTTTGATCTCGTGATCGTTGGCGTCACTGTTTCGCTGACATGTAAAATAAGTGGATGGACTGCACTCAGGCTTATGGCCGCTGCTGGAGCCTCCGTTCACTTTCAGATCTACTTTCCGCTAATCGCCGTGAGGAGGAAACGGAAACGTTTGCGAAATCCCAAGTCACTGCTTTGCCAAGCGTGCAGTATTTACAACTAAAAGGATAATACATTTCACAATAAAGGATGGACCCAGCTGAAATAAAGCGGAGACAAGTGGTTTTAATCTCCGAAATAGGGGTAGAATTTGCAATATTTGGTGTGGTGCAGTCTAAGCTAGCAGCTAAAAACGACGTCCGCAAGTTCACGTCGGGAATACGTCACTTCACGCGACACTAATGTTTTATTTTGAAAATCTTAACCGGAAGTCGTTTTAGTATAACAGTCCGGAACGCTTCATTTTGATTCAACTAATATCACTTAGGGGGACACAGGTTCTGTTGACTCATTTGGGTACTCCTACAAGTCTGTGTTGTCCGGACGGACCGCCTGGTTCATTTCGGGTTCGGGAATCGCAAAAGCAGGTGAGTTAAAACCGTTAAAGTCGTTTATCTTGGCGGTGACGCAGTTTGGCTCAGCTCAGACCGAACCGTGTCTCTTACTTAGGGCTAACTTTTACTGTTAAGCCCAAAGTTGCACCCTGGTTAGGCTGACCTAGTTAAAGTGAAAGTAAAATAACGTATATCTGAAAGAGAAATGAGAAAAAAACGACTTTAATTATTTTGTTATTGCAGTGTAGAAGCTGTCTTTTTCTGGTTTTCAGTAGCATCTAGCCAACTGTTTGAACTACGGCGTCATAAAGCAGTTAAAAACACAAACCCTGATTCTATAAGCATAAAATAAACTTGATTTATATTGAATAGTGATGGATTTCCTTAAATGTGTCAATATTTGTTCAGTATCCTCAAGAACAGCAGCTTTTATTTATTTTATAATCCGATCTGGATCAGCTGATTAGGTCTCAGATGAGTCACTTAATAAGAAAGATGCTGTTTTATATTTGCTCACTAAAAGCTATCCTGAAGTCATAATCAGACACTTCTGTGTAAAATAGCTTTAAAAATGCTGCATTTCCTCATGTCCTTTTGTTCATTTCCAGGCAAAACTCATTTGAATGTTTATCATTTCTGTGTGATCTTTATTCTAGGACGTTAAAAGGCTGTTTGTTTTTCCACTCATTTGTTTTTCATCCTTTTGGTTCATGTTTTTCCATTCAGTTTCGTTTCTACACCTGCTTCCAGTCAGGGGCGGAGCTAGATGGGGGGCCAAGGGTGGCCATGCCCACCCTTAGCCAATCATTGGCCAGCCCTAGCATTTATTTCCCTCTGATACAGAATGTGGCAGCAGTAATACTCTCAAGTGGAATATTCAAGACATTTTTTATATATTAACAATTACTGACAACAAAAACACAGTGGTTAATTATGCACATCAATATACTAACATTAAAGATAAATACAGAATTCAAGCAGAAATAGATTTTGTGTTTTATGGGGTAAAGAGAAAATTATGTCTCTCTGCATTCATCTAGGAGTCTTCAATGAAATCATAGATAAATAACTATTTTAATAAAAACGTATTAAATAATCTATTTATGTAGATAGTTGTAAATATCATGTTTATACAGAATGATTACTGATAAAAGTAGGTAAGTAATGAAAAGATGCTCGCCCAAAAGTTAACACGAAAAGAACTTTATCCAGAAAACCTTTTATCTAGAAAGCACGGAGGTTATATATTTGTCTATTTGTTAGCAAAGGCTGTAGGAAAGTATAGTTTTATCTTTATTTAGAAAATATGGATGTTTTGCTTGTTAATTTTCCTGTTGGAACAGTGTAGACACTTTTCACCTCACTTCTAATGGTTGTATTCTGAAAGGATCAATAAAAAAACAGACATATTCATTGTGAAGCACGGTAGTGGCAGTATCAGGAGGATGAAACTGGTCTTTTTTTGTCCAAATATGGAAAATAAACTGACTGTTGATTAATGATTTGTTAGAGTGGAATTTGTTCCGTCTAGTTAACGTACAACATTTGCTTAAAGGAGACATCACCAGATAGTTTATTATGAAGTCCTAAAATTGATTTTACATTTAAGTTTAATCAATTAAAGTGGCATTACGGAGTTTTCTAATGACCTTTGGCCAAAACACATGCTGAAACATCAAGCTGAAATAGGCTAAAATGATCAACTAGTCATGGATTCCTTCAAAGTAAAAGCATACTTTGTAAGCATTATATCAGCTTGCTTCCTCATATGTTGTGTTCAGTGCATGACCCTAAAGGAAACCTTGATAACAGAGTAATATGCAGCTTTATCGCTGATTACAGCCTGGATTTTAGCCCTTAAAAAAAAAAACTGTCATATGTGGACGCATTGTATATGCTGTATATATATCCATGCACCTTTTTCTTCCTGTGGCACATTCTTTGGCTATTTGAGCTAATGTAAAAAGTAAATTCCTCCACTGTTAGATCAATAAAATCAATCAATCAATAACATTTAGCTAAAGTTGATGCCAAATAAGTGAGCCATAGGCTGGAGAAGATTCTCAGTCATCCAGGTCATTCCAAAAAAAGTAAAAAAAACAAAAAAAAACAACGGACTTTGTTCCGGTTCAATTTGCATGTTTTCTAAGCCATAACAAGGATTTGTGTGGCTATTTTATAAAGCTTGGAACTCAATGCTAATTTTAGACATTTTGAATTGAAAAAGCTTCCCGATTAGGGAGTGAAACGTCTTCAAACTTGGTAAACAAAGTTCAGTGTAATTTTTTTTTTTAGCTATATTAAATCGGTTATAAAATCCCAAATATTGTGGTTTATTAAGCGAATACTGAGGGACTGTTTCTCTGACACTGGTGAAGAGCTAAGGTAGAGCTAAGAAGAGCTAAGCCTTGAACCTCCGGCTGTTACCTTCACTTTCTTCAACGACTGACCACTTTAACCATAATCCACCCCCCAACAACACATACTCCAAAGGATTCCACCCACAGCCAATCCCCTCCCCTCCATCTTGTCCCTTTCAACAACACAGGAGAGGAATTAGCTGCGAGCAATCAAAGTGCCATGCAGATGGCATTAGACCATAAACCCTAAATGCACCAGGGAGCGTTACCACAGATCCTTCCTCTCCAGCAGCTTTGACTTTATGATCATCACTGTTCCCAACAACCTCATGCTGATTTTTTGCAGTTTCTGTTTTAGTCAGTTAAATAACATGCTGCTCTCTCTTTGCTGCTATTTTCTAATATCCATGTCTATAAAAATGTCCACAGCTGTTTATGGATTATTTATTCTCCAGATGCACAGATTTATATTTAAAAAAAAAAGCACAGTACAGTATTTTATTTGTTTTTTTTCTTTACTCTGCCACATTTTCTATTATTTTAAAACACTTTAAGGTTCGCATTGTGTGACTGCTTTTGCTGTAATGCTGCTATAACACCACAATTTCCCCATCGAGGGACAATAAAGGGGTTTTCTATTCTATTCTTCTATTCTATTGTTATTACGATGCCTCCTGTCTGTTTCAGTCAGGCAGTTACAGTGGTCACTTATGTACATAATCTAAATACCAGGAATATTTCTACAATCACAGAGTATTAGATGCACCAGGCAGGAGGAAACCATGAGTTTTAGGTTGTATTACCTGCAGGAATCCTTTGTTTAAGTCTGATTTGTTGGAGTTAAATAACGGCTGTCGTTTCAGCATCATGGCGTCCGGTGGCCCAATGATGAACGGGGACATTTCTCGCTCTCCAGGTCAGTCTGGAACGCTGGAGGAGACGGTGCAGCAGATGAACAACCTTATTCAGGAGAACCGGGACCTTAAAGGTGAGAATATGGGACTCCTGAAACTGAGCTTAGATAAAGGACTGTAGATGATCATTAAAGTTCTGCTCCTCAGAGGCCCTGCGTCAGACCAACCTCACCATGAAGGACAAATTTGAGGGTTTGTCTGCTTGGAAGGAAAAGCAGCAACATGAGAAGGATTTCCTGGAGGAGCGCCTGCAGGAAGCTCGACGCTGCATGGAGAAGCTGAACCTCCAAAACCAGGAGCTCAGCAGGAAGCTGGAGGCAGGAGGCGCCACAGGCGGATGTCAGGTGAGGCCTAACTACCAGATCATCTGACTTCCTCCTGGTTGAAGATGAGGAACGCTGCATTATCACTATTTCATGCTGTCGTCCAATCAGAGTGCAGAGGTGGAGGCACTGCGTGCCCAGGTCGCTCGCCTGCAGGCAGAGAAGAACGACCTGGTGGCTTTGAACTCGGAGCTGCAGCTGAAGGCGGAGCAGGGATCCGAGGACGATTCCTTCATCGAGATCATCAGAGTGTCGGTGAGAGAACCAGGAATCCATCCTGGAGAGAAAGATGGAGAGAAATGTTCAGAGACACGATTAGAGAAACGATCAGAGAAACAAACCATCAGAGGCTTACTGCTCCGTTTGGATCGAAATGGAGAACCAAGAACCAGAAATACCCTGATAGATCCAGGAAGATATTTGATCCATCCATCCATCCATCCATCCATCCATCCATCCATCCATCCATCCATCCATCCATCCATCCATCCATCCATCCATCCATCCATACATACATATCTAAATTTTTATAAAGTTATTCCTCTGTTGTGAACGTCACCATCAGTTCATCACCATCTTATTCTGCTTAATTTTGTTGCTAAACTATTTTCCTTCCTGACTTCCTGCTTTTCCATCCTTCCATTTCAGGATGCAGGGGTCGCAGAAGTGAACAGCACTTGCGGCTCAGAGCACATAAGGCGTCCGGACCTCAGCATGACGTCATCGCGGCTGGAGAACGAGGAGGTGACGGTCAGCCAGCTGCTGCAGTCCCTGAGGAACGAGACGCAGAGATGTGAGCGACTGGAGGCCGAGCTGAAGGCCTGCAACGCACGGTAAGGAGCCGCCAGTGACGGAGCCGCTGGTTGACCCAAAGACCTTTGTGATGTCACAGTGAGATTTCTGGTTTTATGTTTCAGAATCAAAGAAATGGAGGAAAAGAACCAAGAAATAGAGCAAAAAATGAAAACGACTCAGACAGAGAGCAGAGAAGACGCTGCCAAGGAGAAGGTTGGTTTTAGAGCAGCAGCCATGTTTGCTTTTAGGTCGCGGCTGAATGCGCCACAAAGCAGAAGCATTCAACTTCTTCTGTTTCACTGGTATTTCAGGCAGCGTCTGAGGTGGAGAACCTGAAGACTCAGGTGATGACGCTCTTCAGGGACCTGCAGCAGGCCCAGAGCAAGCTGGATGAGGCTGAAGGCATGAAGAAGAACCTGCAGGACAGGTTAGCTTGGTAGAAGGACAGAAGCGCAGCACACACAAACAGATCTGTCTACATCTACATCTGATCTGTCTGCTAGATGTCGGGAGGTGGAGCAGGACGTGGCCACTCTGAAGGCTCAGCTGGTGGAGAAGCAGGCGGTGCAGGCGGAGAACGACCGGCTGAAGCTGCAGCTGGGGAGCCTGCAGGCCCAGAGCCAGATGGAGCAGAAGAAGGCTGACGACGACAGGTCAGATCTTCTGCAATGGAGAGAAGTTTCTAACATTACTAATGAAAAAGAAAAACATCTTTTAAGAGTAACTTTGCTGTTTTGTTAGATTTGGTTTTTACAAATTTTATATATTTTTTTTACAGATGTTTTCTTTTTTATTTCAAATTTCTATTTTCCTGATTTCTTAAGATATGGTAAAAAATGCCTCTTTATCATCCGGTGTAGGATAGGATGTTTGAATCCAAGGCTACTAGAGAATGAAATAAATGAAAATAACATGAAATTACACAAAACAAAACCAGCAGCATAGTCATCAGTTTCCCTAACAAAACAAACAAATCAGCTTTATCATATCCAAATACTAATAGAAACCAACATCTGATCTGGAGAGTAACAAAGCGGAAACAAACAACTAAGCGTGCCAATAAACTAGAACACAAAGTAGAAGGGCCATTTTAGATAAAAAAACAAAAACAACCCCCCCCCCGAATTTCTAGATGATAAAGGGCATAAATTGATATGTTGAAACTAATATCACTTTCCCACTGGCTGAAAAAAACGTTTAAACCTGGGAACAATCGGCTAGTTAGTGGCAGTGGGAACAGCTCACTGACCCGGGTCAAACGACTCGGCAAGCGACGTTATAATCAACCGGTTAAACTGTTTTTTGTTTTTTTAACAGTGTCCTGTCTGGCAATGTGGCAATAAGAATAATTGTCTTGATGCCAAATAAAGCTCAACAGATTTTACTTTCACAAGAGGAGCAGTACGGTTATCGCCATAGTGTTCCGCTTGATTCATGCATATAAATAGCTTTATTATAATTCATGCATGGAGTTTTACAGATTATATTGACACTGCAATGTAAGTTGAACAGGAAAGGAAAAAGAGAAAAAAGGAGCAAAGATGAAAGGAAGAGGAGATAAATGGGAAAAAAAAAAATGATAAAACATCTTCAGTCCTGTTAAATTGAGTACGACGTACGGATGTCAACACACCGCACGAGCCACGTCTGATCTAACAAGCCGAAATAACTCTGTTTGCATTCGATAAATGCATCAAAGCTGGTGTGATGGTGTCACCGGACATACAGCAGCGGGGTACAGAGGCCATACAGAAGGCAGCCAAATGCCAATTGTTAGCAGGTTCAACCCGTATTTAAAAAACCCAAAGATTATGATATTCTCAGACGATGTAAAGTCAGAAATTAGCTTAAAAGAAAAACATGACCTAGGGGAGATTTTAATCTGTATATTTTCCAAAGTATAAGTGAAACATCCAGACTTTTTATATGCAACACAATTAGGGGCGTAAACAAATAATTAACTTTAAATAATTGTTGATTAATGTTTTATTAGATTTTAATTAATTTAGTCTTTTTTTATAGATTTGTTGTAGCAATAAAAGTGGAGAGTGGTGAATGTGTAAAATGAATTCTCTGATCCAAAAGGACCGGTTAAATTGGGTTTTCTGATATTTTTACATTAAAGCCACATTACTCTCCAAGATAGTTCTTCTCTTTCACCTTGTTCTCAGAGTTTGATTTCATTTTCTTCTGAATTGTAACAAAATGTTCAATTTGCTCACTGAAAGCAGGACAAGCAATTTCACATGCAGACCTTTCAGTTTGCTGTTCTGCAGATACCTGTGAAACATGCAGTGTTTATATCACTTTGTCAGTCCGTGCATATTTGTGCAGTGACAGTTGGTCTTTGTCTTTCTGCATCCTATTTTTCCCCGATGCGCCACAACAGCTGAGAGACAGCAAAACAGGAACAATCTGATATTCTCTTCCTGTCTCGTATTCCCTGACCTCACACCTCCAGCAATGGAGAAAAAGAAAACAAACATATTAATTGAAAAAAGAAGAAAAATTACAAATTACATTATTTTCATATGCGTTTTCCGGATCACATTTACTTCATTTCTAGGGACGGGACTTCCTCCAGAGTGAGAATTTCTATTGGTCTGCTGGACGTTAGCAACAACATTTCTTATTGGTCAAGAGCGAGCGTTTGGTTTGGACTAATGTGATCTGTGAAACACAATTTGAAAAAGAAGGGAATTTGTAATAACTGCTTAAAAAAATTTGTAAAATAAAATGAAAAGATTTTATAATTAAATATGAAAAATAAATGTCAAAATCTGAGCAAACAGCAAATTTACTCTAGAAACTTTTCTCCTAATCAAACATTTCTCATAATTTAATTTCTGGATTCCATATTTTGAGCTAAATTCCCTCGTATTCCACTGGGTGTTTGTATCCATGGTAACTCCAGAAGTTAACCAGCATTCCTCCACAGGACCAACCTGGCTCAGCTGAAGGATGCGTACACCAAACTGTTCGAGGATTACAACGAGCTCAAAGAGGAGAAGAAGAGGAAAGAGGTTTGCTTCCTGCTCCTCTTTTTGCAGATAATGCGGGTTTTCCAGTCATGTGACCCGTCTCTCCCTGTCCTGCAGTCCCACATGGTGGAGAGGAACCTGGTGGAGGATCTGCAGCAGCGGCTGAGCTCAGCAGAGGAGGCGCTGGTGATCAAACAGAACAAGATCGATGAGATGAAGCAGGAGATGTTCCAGAAGGAGAAGGAGCTGGAAACCATCTCTGTCTTCCAGGCTCAGGTTGGATCAATAAACAATAATAATAAAATTTTCAATTACTAACCGATTAAACTCTGAAATGGTCTAAATATGACGTTAAACGTTAAAAATAGCTTTGAATTCCAGCCTCTGTTTATCAAACAGTATGAAGAACCTAAAGATCAGCCGTTGAAACAGGAAGGAGTCGCCCTCTAACATCTCACAAAAATAAAAGCATCAAGCTGATATTGTAAAGCTCCGCCTCCAAAGGTGGTCTCTGGTTTCTTTTTTAGGAGAGTTCTGTTTTTTTTCTGTCATCTGTCATAAATAAACCCGATCGCTGCGTCTGATGGATCAGATGAGGACAGAGGAGGGTTCGGTCACAGGACTTATTGTCCATATTAAATAAAACACTATAAATATAGATGTTAAAATTAAGCGATACGTGTCTGATAGTGTTTACTTAGTCCGTTTTGAGCCAAACAAAACAAATACCCTTCAGTTTACTGCAAAATTCAGCATAAAAACAGAAATTCAATCCATTTCACCAGCAGGACGCCATCGTTTCATCACAAAGCCATTAAGGCTCCGTCCACACTGCAGGCATTAATGCTCAATTTCGATTCTATTTTTGTCAAATCCAATTCTTTTGCATGGTTGTTTACATTTCAACCATGCATTATGTGACTTGTATGTGATCTCCTGTGTAAACTGCATTCAAACAAGTGTCCCGCGTGCACAGTAGAGGACGCACTGATGTCACAGGCAAGCATGCTCTGTGTTTACGGAAATAAAAATGGATGGTAGTGCTGGAGCTCATCTAGCAATCAACAAGACTGTTCTCATTATCATTCGCCATGGCAGCAGGATGCAGAATAGTGACCTATCGCGGGTATTAATGGCATAATGCCGTGCACACACAGGTCACATTTGAAAAGATCAGATCTGTGTTTTTCGACTGTCATGAAAAGATCAGATAAAGCTCGCCTAATGGCAATAAAACTGAAATTGGGTCACTTCAGGCTGCAGTGTGAATATTGCCTAAGAGTAGCTGTTAGCATAAGATGACCCTTATTCAAAAGCTGTTTTGGTTCTGTGCCGCCCGCAGGCAGAGGTCTACTCCTCAGACTTCTACGCAGAGCGAGCGGCGAGGGAGAAGCTCCACGAGGAGAGGGAGCGTCTGGCTGCTCAGCTGGAGTACGTGAAGAAGCAGAACACGCAGCTGCAGCAGGAGATGGACTCACTGGGCCGGTAAACTGCTCTCTGTCTCCATCTAGTGGTTATTTTATCAGAGAGGATATCTCATTAAGGCTTGAGATGAGGTAGCAGCGGGATGTCCAGATTTATCTGATTCCGTCTTATTGACCTCTAGGCGTTCGTTAAATGAAATGCAGCGCAGACACGGATCTGCTGCTCCGAGTCCACGTGGACCTGACCCAAGTCTGGTAGGAAGAGGTAAGCTGATAAATGATGAGCTGCCCTCTAGCTGTCGTAGAGCTATGCAACATAGATGCATGTAATGCGGTCTGTCATCCTCAGGGGCCGACTGGACCCAGGAGAACATTCCTGGACACGCCTGCCCCAAGTGCAACGAGATCCACCCAGACCTGGACTCCCTGCAGATCCACATCATGGACTGCATCAACTAGACTCCCAGCTTCAGCAGCTTCGCCTGAGTCTTCCTCGCCTTCCACCCCCCCATGCCCTCTTTTCACGATACCAACTTCTCCGTTCAGTTTTTCTGGAACAGATCTGTCTAAAGGGGCTTTATTCATCAAGCTAGCCTGATTATCTGCATTATTAAGCAGAGAGCATCTTAAACCAAATGATGGTTTGTGAACGATCCCAACACTCAAACACCTGGGCTTTAATGAACAACATATTTCAAATGTTTTTGTTTTTTTTAAAGTTCGAGTTTAAGTTTAGCAAAGAAAACCACTTTTCTTTTTCTTAGAACTAGTCAGAACATCATCAGATGTTTAATGACCCATAAATAGCATCTCTGTCTTCTTTTGGAAGCACGCTGGAGGGAAAATGCCAGCTGATAACAGTTAGAAAATACTGAATATTAAACATCTTACTGCAGAATTCAGCCGACTAGGTTTTGGTTTTCATTTTACATGCTTCCTCCTGTCCTGCTAACATCTTCCTCACTATGAAAGCCACTGAGCTTTGCAAAGCAAAGCAGAGGGAACCTTTATGTCAGAGGTCCGCATGTAAACGTATATATTTATATATATATATATATATATAAACTGCTTTTAGTTAGTGGTTCATTTAAATGGTATTTGGTTGAATTAAAGAATATGAGAAGCTTCCTGGGTTTCTATCAGAACTGAAATGTGGCCTACCTCCTAAATGACCAAGTATGTGGTTTCTAAGGGTGTTTAATCTGTATTTATCGACTCTAAGACCATAATTGGTTCTTTGCTGTCTGATCAGAATGTTTAAAAGGAATTTGTTTGACATGGAGGCTTTAAAGACATGGATCCGTGTGAAAAATGAAATAAACTTTTATTGAAAGGATATCTGTCTTATTTATTCTTTTAAAAACATTCTGATTCAAACCATCTTCAGTCATTGATGGATTTATTAGTCCTATAAAACGTTTGCATCAGTTTAGAGGCAGTTAGTTTTGGTTTTACTAGTTCTGTCTTATTTTGATCCATTAATCAGTTTTTATATATTTATCAGAATATTGGAACCCTTTTATTAAGAAGCATATTAATATCTTTTCACTTTTAACTCATAAAATCTTTATGATGTGGTGATGTGGCAGACTGGAGTCTTTAACTGAGAGTCGGGGCACGGACTTCTGTAACCCTTCTGATCAGAGTAAGATTACCATTTATGTCAAAATCTATGTCTTTGTCCCCTTTTTGCCATAATTGGAATAATAAAAGGGATGACATATGTTTAAACTAATAAGTAGCAGTTGAATGAAAGGTTTTTCTGCTGCTGCACATTGAAGAACTCTAGTTGAAAATGGACAATGTTAAATATGGCCAGGAGGGGGCGACATCTTTACACTTTGTATGTTTCTGTTGCCTTTAACAGGAAAAATAACGCAGCAAATATCTCACTACAAAGTGAGATATTTGGTTGTTGGTTACAGTAACACACATTATGATTCATTGTTGTTTTTAGCTGCAAGGAGGTTTTGAAGAAATATAAGCTGTTAATCAAAGCAGGAAGAGCAGAGTTTTCCTAACTGGGTCCTAAAGACTCAATAACCTGCATTCAGCTCAGCTGATTCCAGTTTGTGGCTGATAAACAGGTTCTGGTTGAGCTGCTGTCACCTGGATGAGGTGTGCAGAGAATCTGCTGGAACAAACAGGGTGGCGTGTCTGAGGGAGAAGCATTCAGAGCTCTAGGGTAAGAAAGAGTTTGATGGAGTAACTGATAGCCCAGCCATGCAGAGCCAAATATGTCACAGATTTATGGGATCTGCAAAGGGGAATTTGATAAGATTGTAATTAACAAAACTCAACTTTGACAAATAGAAAATAAAGACAGGAACTTAGAAGAAATAATATAATTACTTGCAAACAAAATATTGATAAAAATAAAGGATAAAGGGGAAATGTTTTGGGGAAAACAGGAAAATACAGAGAGAGTTGAGAACAAAAGTGATTAAAAAACTAAAACATGAAAGAATTTGAAAAAAACAAATTTTAAATATGATTAAAAAAAATGTGGAAAAATATAAAAACTTTTGAAAAGTTGGACAAAAATGTAAAAAAAATAAAAAATAAAATCTGAACATATCTGTGAAGATTCTCAGTCATCCAGGTCTTAGTCAAGCTTGAAAAGTTCAGTTTAGGCAACTGAAAGTAAAGTTTTCTTTGTTAACCTGGAAAAACCAAAACTCAACAGAGGAGGTGGTCTTAGACATAACCTTTCACCTCCTTATAAATCACTATTAGGAACAATAATAAGAAAAGTCACTTCTCACCTGCCCTCACTTTACTCACGCTTCAATGAGGCTGAAACCATTCTGACGAGGGAGTTTTGTTTTTGATGAATGGGATCGCTGGGATTAATATATTATAGGTTTAACGGTTAGAACTGGAGAAGCCTCTTGGATGAGAGGAAAAACATCTAGAAAACTTCACGTC